TAAAAAAAAAAAAAAAAAAAAAGAATGTATAAACCCATTAACCCATTACAAACCAAACGGTAAAGTGCAAACACCAAAGTTTGAAAAGAAAATCGTTCATCTGCTGACTGCTATTCTACCTTGTGCCACTGGTTGCCAACAATTAAAATTTGAAAGGAAAATCATGCCCCCACTAACTCAAAATTTCTGCGTTCTCCATTGTCTGTAAATTTGCCCAAGATCAAATCCTGGTAGTTGCACAAATGGCACATCAGTTGATTTTCATTTTTCTTATAAGAAAACACACAGATTTAAAGTAGTTCAATTTAGAGGTGGACTGTGTCAACTCGCTAGTACAGATTTTTTCACTGTAGTGACGGAAAATTATGAAAAACTCAAATGAACAATATAATTAGACTATGCACATTCCTACAAGTCCAATCTTAGACCACTGGTTATTTCACATCTAGGCTTCTGCAAATCCAAATACATGAAGATAACTACAAAAGATTCAAGAACGTCTTTGATTTATAATAGTAACTAAAACGCTCAAACTGAGTAAAAAACGAGCAATACATGACCATTGGGATGTGAAAAAATTACAACACCAATAAACAATTTTGATCTTCTCCTTATTTTCTTCAGACCTTACGGAATCCCATAAAACCCTTTACATTTGTGAAGTTCATGAAACTACAATAATGATCCTACACTATAAAAAGGGTGTACTCGAATATAAGAGAGTGAAGAATTGTTCAACTTCTGGTATGCTACATATATTTTGGACATACCTACTCCTATAGGGTTCTTTCAGTAGCTGCTGACCAATCTGAGCTATTCGTGGAAGAAGTTTAGCAAGTGGCATTCCAGACAGTAAAGTGCTTTCTCCACATTGGGAACTAATATCTTTCATAAGTTCGTTCACCAGTGTTTTTAACGACATTTCAATAATATTCCCAAATTCAACACTGCACGAAGTCACAAGAGCAAGGTGAAGAAGTTGATATAAGATTAGAACATAAGAAATTGGTTAATATTACAAATGTAGTCTAGAATTGTTGAAGCTTCATCTGATCTTTCACCTTATGAAATTGTAACATGTAAATGTCATTCACAATAACTATACTTCTACTTTATTGTCAATCAAGTACCCGTATTTCAACATGCACACAGTTGCTTGATTGACAGAGTGAAAGTATAGCTACCATCAATGCAATTTTTCCAAAATGTAACAACTAGCTGCAACATATAATGATTACCAGTATCGCTAATGTGAAGTAAATCAAGATATTATGCAATCCAAGTGAGCCTCTATATGAAAAGTGCATCATTGATAAGTAATAAAAAGTAACTTGCCTAGACATACGTTTGGCTAAGCTGGAAAGCTATTTTAAGTACGTTACTGAAGCTTAGCCAAACACGATGAATTAAGGGACAACTTTTTCTCTTTTTCTTATTCTCTCGTCAATCATATGAAATTGAGCATTCGAAGCAGTTTGACAGCCAAAAGCATGGAATTTAGTGCTTATTTTGCCTTGCAGTATTCAACCCTAGATTCACAAATCCTGAAAGAACTTATTCTTTGAAAACAGAAATGCAAAATTTAATGCTTTGGTAGCCTTGGATGACTGCAGTGCATCACTTGAGGCAAGCAGAATCACATAGTTTCTTTGGATTTTCAACAAAAAATTCTCTATTGATGCATTACAATGCAGACGTAAAACAGAGTGCACTTGATTGCAACCCTTTAACTTAGCCTTCTTAATTGCTGAACCAGATGAATCATAAACATACCTCAATAACACTGCACGTGTCTCGCCCATAAGTTGTTCAAGTTTTGTTGCGTGAGGAAGATCTGAATAACCGCTGCTGCTGGACTGTGAAACAAGGTTGTATACTCCAGAATCTTCAGGCATCAAATAGCCCACCCAGTGATGAGGGCTCCCCATGCTCATGAAAGTGTCCAATATTTGAACAATGGTTTCATCAAGTATAGTTGCAGTGAAGAAATCCTTCAATAGCTTTCTGTAGACATGAAAGTAAGCATTTAATGACAGAACATCAGAATTCCAAATAATAACCCAAAGAACAGACTTCTGGCAATATTAATTTCCACAGGACATAGCCCACGAATATTGGAACATTTTTAAAAAAGTTCACCATTTTATCTTCAAGCAACATCAAGTAAGATTACATTAAGATTGAACACTAGAATATTGGAAGCACAATTTTATTTTATTTTTTTATTATTTTTTTTTTTTTCGAATCAATAGAAGAGGCTGGAAACAACCCGTGGCATTGAATTACTTACCCCATGTTTGGTCCCATTTTCTAACACTCATTTTCAATCGGACCTTTCATAGGATTAATTTACTATTCTCAAAATAATAATAATAATAATAATAATAATAAAATAAAATTATTGAATCGCCTTAAATTACTCAAAACAATAGGAAAAATATTTACTTCGAAGTTTCTTAGCAAATTAAATTTGAAATTAGCAACATCACTTGCACAAAGACTATATGTAGATGATATCGGTGAAATATACACATAAATATTATATGAAGTAAAACAGTTTTATTCACAGCAGGAACCAGCAGTGCATCATGGGAGATCAACATGGTAAGCATCATCAGAAGCAGCTATAGAATTGCATGGGCATAGCTCAGTAATATTTAAATTTTCCCATGAAATGCTGAAACTTGCGTGGTAACTAACAAAATAAGAATGCAGTTGCATAGAGACATGAATAAATTATACAAGAGATCATGAAATGTCAGAATCTGAGGCAAGGCAAGAATCTGTAACGAATTCTTGGGATACTAAGCAGAGAGTTGTAAGAAATTCAGAGAATTTTCCTGAATTTATTGAATCTGAATGAAAAAAATAGCAAGTTGATAAATGGATCTCCCTATATAGCGTGTGGGTCCTCTGGGAGAGTAAGCAATTAAAAAATAAGTTCATGAATAGAAAAGGTCTGGGACAAAAAGGTGGCAGGAACTTTTAGAGGATTGGGAGTTCAACAAACTAAAAGGAGAGCTCTTTCAAACAGAAGGACAGAAAATCATAAAGGGAAAATAAATTATTTGTCTTGGTTTATCATTTTGTCTTGCCGTCTCGGTGTTATGTCTCCTCTTGTTCTTTCAACATATGGATATTACTAGCAACGGTACTGGAAGAAGAATCTAATAATTCTTAGGTGGAATTTTGGAATCTGTTGGGTTTTTGATACCCAATAATCCCGGGCGATGATGTTAAACAGTGTCGGATAGTCGGATTAGATTTCATAGGTTTCGGCCGATGATTGAAATATTTATTAACACACTTGATTAATTGGCTCAACCCGAAAAACAACTTGAGGGTCATTTGAAGCAACTTAATATAGTTAATGTTGCTCACGGCCCATTTACTTCTTGGATGGCTCAATTTGTGTTCCCCCCCCTTTAACCATTAGTTCGTCCATGAGCCCATTATATTATTACACCCTAAACCTATATATTGCTCTCATTTGTGAAGGAGCCATGTGTGTGCAATTGAAAAGAGGAGCCGACATTTTTCTCAAGTTTTCTCTCTTGAGCTTTAAATTGAATCTGTCTTCCTCTATTATTGGTGATTCATTGCAGCCACCATATTGTGTTCTTTGTAAACACATTGACTTGAGCAACCGAAATAAGAATCGTTGTTTGGGTTGGAGCCTTTGTTGGATGTGTTTAATAAGATAGAGATTGGTTAAACTGAGCCCGAAAAATTCACCATTGAAGGTCGATTGTTCAACAGAATCATATATTGCTTTTCAAAATGTAAATATATTCCCCCTTATTTGTGCTAAGGTAATAACTTCTTATTCATAAAATAGTTAGGTTATTTACTCTAAAATAAAAACGACATTATTATAGAACATGAACATAAGGAGAAAGTATCAAACTAAACAAGCCAACTTAGTTAAATATGCGGATTGTTACAAAATGAAAAA